ACTTGTAACTTAAGACAACTTATATAGTAAAAAATGCATCACTGAAAAAGACCCCAAAATAGTTAAAAGGGACATGCACTTTATATGTAACTTTTTCTTACTATTAAACCTTAAGGCAATTTTGTTTTGTTGCTTTGTCATCATCAAATAGGGGGAGATTGTTGATCATCTCTGTCATTGATTTGATGATAATCCCTTTACCCTTCGAAGTATTATGTTTCTGTCTTTTCAGTTTAGTGATCATCATTGAGTCTGTTTAGTGATCACTGAAACATGTATTGTAATCCTACAGCGTTAGCGATACTTCAAGAAGACAAAACTCACACCAAATAACCTTCAATGAATGTCGAAGACTGAAACTGAAGGTTAGTGGCAGGCGCATTCGTGATCTGAAGTAGTCTTCAGTGATAACAACTTGGTCAACATATGTGTGAAGACTGCACAAGCCTCAGTGAATGTTGAAAAGACCTCCAGCGTTATTCCAGCAGTCGGCGATCAAATGAAGCTTGCCATGCACGATTCTTTTTGTCTTGTCCTTCCACACACAAAGGACAAACCCATACCCTTTCAAGAGTATAGTACTGCACGGAGCTGACTAGTCGACTCTTGTTCCCATCAACTCCATGAAAGGATGTATGTGTTAGACCCCATCTTGTGAAAGTGTAAGTAAGAAGCCTCTTACACTAGTCCATAGGACTCAGTCTTTAGAAGCAGTCTGGACTAAGAGCTCTCATGCAGAAGTCAAGGCCCAGAGCTCTTACTCAAAGAGTCAAGGATCTCACATATAGAGCCCGTGCTCAATTCCGTGGATGATCAAGTCTTAAGCGCCAAAAAGCTTAAGCGCTTGATGCAAAGCTAAACTCCTGACACGGAGCTTCTACATAGTACATGCAGAGCCTCTACATATGTAGAGCTTCTGTATAGTACATGCAGAGCCTCTGGTTTCCTATCTCCATGGAATGCGCGCTTAGTCCAGATATTCTCACAAGCGTCAAACAGATTCAAGGCGGCTTAACTTAGTCCGCTCCATATTTCAAAGGCAGTCAATGATAAGGATGCGGATTCAGCGATCAGAGTTTCAAGCCATAATTATAGCATAGTTTGTTTGACTTAGGCGTATATAAGGAAGCATCGTCCTTAGGCTCAAATCACCTGAGAATGCCGACTTAGATTATAGCCAGTTCTTGTGAGAATATGTTTTAGATCGAGAATTTTATTTTCTTCTAATAAAAAGCATCTGATTTATTCAATGTCTTTTAGTGTTCATATTTATGTTGAATATTTCGTTTGATCAATTCAGTACATTGTTCTTATTTCATTCATATTCTTCATTAATTGTGTTTCCTGAAAATTAAGAGTATATGGGTTCCAACAATTAGTATCAGAGCCAGCTAATCAAATTCATTGATTAGTCAATCGATATCCATCAGGATACCTCTCTTAATTTCTGATTATTCATTTTTAAAAAGGAATTTTATTCTTATTTTTGATCCATTTAAAAACGCATGTTTTTAGTACTCTGGAAATCAGTTACATATCGTCTATCACTTTCATGTCAATTTTTTTTTCTTCTCAAAATCCTTAAACAAAATGTCTAGTCAAACGTGGAACTACGTGTATAGTGTTGGATCTCTTACAAAACCTCCAACACTCATTAGGGAAGAATATCCCCAATGAAAAATACAGATGATAAATTTTTATGAAGATCTTGACCTTGAGCTTTACGAATCAATTTTAAACGGCCCTTTTGTGCCCACTACACAAATTCCCCGCATTCTTGCTGCTGACGACATGATCAAAGTACCAGCCAGAAGAGTTCCCAAGCTTCGTCGAGATTGGGATGATGAAGACATGCGTAGAGTGGAAGTAGATCAGAAAGCGAAGAGGCGTTTGATCATGGCCCTTCCTAATGAGATTTTTCAATCTCTAGACGCTTGTGAGTCTGCCAAAGATCTATGGGATCATTTGGCAAACCAGCTGGAAGGAGGATTCAAAATGAAGTAAAACCGTTGTGCTCAATGTTTAAATGAGTACAATAGTTTTCAAGCACTTCCTGATGAGGGTTTAGAGGAGACTTATCATAGATTCAACATGCTGATCAATAAATGTCAAAAATGTGATGTGATCAGAACTCAAGAGGAGAAAAATATACTTTTCTTGAAGAGGTTGAACGCTGAATGGGGAAACTTGACCATATCTCTCCAGGCGAACCAAGATCTGGAGCAATGGACTCTTCATGATGTGTATGGCCCTATACAAGCACAGGAGCAAGAAGTGCAGAAGGCCAAGGTCGCTCTGGCTCTTGTCTGACTGAAAAGAGACTGGATCCGGTCAACCACACAGAGAAAGAAGATCAAAGGAGGAATGGAGAAAGGGGAAGAAGGCTCTTATCATGGAGAACGATGAAGAAGACAGAGCATCAAGCTCTGAAGACGACGACATTAGTGCTTTTCCACATTCCTTGGCCTTGATTACCAAGGAATTTCAATGGAAATTCGGAAAGAAAGCCTTTGACAAAAGAGGAAGACAAGGCGATTGAAACAGAAGCAGAGCTTTCGAAGGAAGGAACCCTCCCTTTGTGTCAAACAAGAAGGAGGAAGAGCAGTCTGAACAAAAGAAACAAGCTGACAGCTGTTTCAGATGCGGAAAGATGGGACACTACTCCAAAGAGTGCAAAGGCCCTTTGGTGAAAGATGAGTTGTACTATAAAAATAAGTACAAGTATAATTGATCCCAAAGGAGTCTCATATGGATGAACAGGAGAACTGGGGCTCTGACTCCTCATCTGAAGAAGAAGATGACCAAGCACATTTCTGTGGAATGGCTGTTGAGAATGAAACAGAAGAGTCTGGATCTGGCTCCAACTCCCAGGTATGTTCTATCTCTGGTTATTCTCATTCCGATCTGGAAGAAAGCATCTCTGCTTTAACTAATGATTTCAAAAATCTACAGCAAAAGCTCTCTGTCGAAGAAACTAAAAGGAAGTCTTTGGAAAAAGAAAAGTTATTCTTTGAACGTGAGACAGAGCTACTTACTATAGAAAAACAAGAATTGTCAATGGATAATGAAAAACTTTTGCAAACAAAATGTTCCACTGAAATAAGTCTAAATCAGAGTGCTCTGAACTAAAAGCGACTCTACAAAAGAAAGAAAAAGAGCTTTTAGAAAAGGAACGTGACAGACTAAACTCTGAAGCCCTGAAAAATTATTATAAAAAATAAAGGGAATTTTTACACCAGAGCTTACAAAGAAAAGAGCTCTTGATTAAAAAATATCAAGATGCTCAGCAGGTGTATGAAAAGATTAATTCTCAACAGGATAAAGCAGAGATAGGTTATAAGACCTAGACCTCACCTGGAAGAAGAAATCCACTCTTGAGTTTGTCTTTAGGTTAGGCACAAAGCAAAAACCAGATTTTCCATCTCTACATAAAGCCTCACCTTTTAAAAGATGTAAGCTTGAGAATGGGGCCAAAACTCAAAGGTTAAAG